CTAATTATTAAGGCCCCTCTATTAGAGAACCTGGACAGATTCATCTTGAGTTTTCGGGCGAGGGTCGTTCCAAGCCGCAGAAATGAACCCCTGAAGCGGTTCATTCTGAACCCTTGTAGTGTTTGGGTGTCGGGTTTAGGGGTTTAGGGGTTTGGGGTTTAGGGGTTTAGGGGTTTAGGGTTTAGGGATGTAGGGTTGAGGGTTTAGGGTGTAGGGCCGCTGTATTGTTGAAAAGGAACCGATACTGCCATAGGTTCTGGAATAGACTATAAGAGTGTAGGCCAACAGTCGCCCAGACTTACTTTGGAGGGATTTCTCTTGTTCTCGGGAGAACCTGTCAGCTGCGGTGAGGTTTTTGCAGCTCCTTGTTCTGGTGCCTTCCTCCAAGAACCCCCCTTAAACCCTTATAAAGCCTAAACTCTAAAACTTCGTGAGCAGTGAGCCTAACTAACCCCTATAAAGTCACAAGGGCCAAGCTGGAGCCAAAGAATCTCCATGATGTCGGTCTTGTGTAGTTTTGTTCTCAACCCTAGCGATCTCGATTTTTTCGTGAAAAGTTGGACAGCAAATGAGGGCATGCCGCCTCAAGGCCGCAAAAATACCTATGTCGCCGAGCCCTTTGCTGTCGAACTTAGAGTCAGAGGCAACCCAAGGTTTTAAGAGCCGCCCTGTACAACCCAAGCACTGGACCCACAAGGACTGGGGCAGATACAAGCTCTGGAGATCTGAGCCTGAAATCCTCTAAGTGCCAACTCCGTAAGTCCTAAACCAGAACCCCAAAATATAAGGGGATAAAAAAAGCCCTAAGCGCTAGGCTGAAAGACCACTAAACTTTAAGACGTGTTGCTAGGACGCCAGTCGACCGGAACTTTTTCGTTGAGAGGGCGCAGAAGGTGATACAGGACTTTGGGCTCATGGAGAAGTGTGCCTTCTAAACGAAAAGGGTATGTTAGGTTTTTTGGGGCTTAGGGCTTTGGGTTCAGAGTTTCGTTGGTCTGGAAGTCGTTCCTGTGCTGGGATTGAAGAGACGGCGCATCCACTACAGGCATCTGGTTTTGGGACATCTTGTTTGAGGGTTGATGGTGCGGTGTGCACAAATGGGGCATGCATAGCGCGAACCATTCAGTGTTTTGGAGTGAACCTTTTGGCGTGTAGAATTTGCAATGAAGGGGGGGTCACCTCTGGTTTTGGTCATAGAGTCGGCTGTATAGGGCGTATGTCTGAGGGCAGTGGCTGAGCGGTGTCGTTCCAACGCACCCCGCGAAAGCAACAATTCAGATTCTAGTCCTGAGTTTAGCCCTACAAACCTGGCCAAGCAAGCCCTACTAGGGCCAGTTGCTGCCTGCACATGATCATAGGCAATTAACTTGTAACAGTTTGTAGGGCTTGAAGCAGTTTGTGCCGAGGTGTTTTGGGTTGCGGGTTTAAGACTCGAGATTTTGGAAGGGGAGGTTCGGAATTAGGCTTCAGGCCGCCTGTCAGAAGTTTGGTCGGCCGGTATTGTAGGGGCCTTAATAATTAGAACGAGGTTTTGGGGGGTTCCTGATTCTAATTATATAGTATAATATACCCAAACCCTATTTTAATTATTAAGGCCCCTATGTTATCTGTGCAAAGCCTTGAACCCGACAGAGCAAAAACGAGCCATGCTTGGATGCCCTCCGTTTTCTTGTAGAGTATTGCAGTGGAGCTTCACATGGTGCCATCTTTTGAGGCACCATGCCACATGATGATCTTTTGAGGCACCATGCCATGCAAAGCGAACCACAAGACCAAACACTTCCACCGAGTTGGAATGTGTCCTTCGTCTTAGGGTCTGAGGATGGACACGGTTTCGACTTCTTGACGACGGCTTCCGCAGTGCCAGAGCTAGAGCTGAGTGCGCTTCGTCGGTATTGTTCTGAAAAAGCAAACCTTGAAACATGCAATCACTTGATTGAACCCATGCACAACAGTTTGCGAATTCCTCCATCATTCATCTCCCACATCCCCGAAACCTAAACCCCTATACAGGGTCTGACCCTTGTTTTGTTTATGAGAGTTGTCATACCGGTCTGAATAGCTACAGTAGTGATAGTTGTCCTTGACATTCCTGCATTTTTCTCCAACATCAAGCAACCCGAAACCCCAGTCCAATGATTCAGGACCCCTCATGCCTAGATGAACCAAGTGACCGACAGGACACCATCAATACCATCGTGGATGTCCACTTCAGCATGAATCCGGCGTCGCTCCCACAGCAGAAGGTGCCCGACAAAACTGTGTTCCGTGTCTTCCTGCATCAACAACAATCATCATCCGCACAAATTGGATTAACCGTAACACACCACGTAACATGCTTTCCTTCTTGGTGTCGGCTCGCTTGAGCTATAGTCTCCCCAACAGGAAGCAGGCGCTTCTTTGTTTGAGCAGGAGTTTTGGGATTATGGCAGCGGGTTTAGAATTTCTGGCAGGGGCGCCGGGTGGAGGGTTCAAGAATAGAGGCTTTGGCCAGGGTTTAGGGTTTCAGTTCAGTTTCTGAGTGGGGCTCGCTGGGCGTGAACAGGTATCTTCCGTAGTGTCCAAGAATCGCTCCGTAAGGAAGGGTTGGAGTTAAACTGAAGGATTGGAGAAAACTCACCACCCGTCAGCCCTAAACCCTAAACCGCTAGCACAAGCCCCCCCC